TAGACTTTTTACGATACCTTTTTTAACCATTATTGGGTGATTTGAATCGAAATTCAAATATCGGTTAGTATGAGTAGGTTTTCTATAGACCAAGGCTTCGAAATTGTTTAAATTTTTCTGAATTAGTATATCGAGAAACGGAATTTGGTGATTTTGTTCTTTTTCAATAGTGAATTTAATTGTTGGTTCTTTATTATTCAGATAGGATAAAAATTCATCAAGTTCTTGTTCGCCATGACTGTAAATGGAGAATACGTCATCAATATAACGCCACCAAATTATTGGTTTAAATTTGTATTTATTAATGAAAGTTGATTCAAAATTTTCCATAAATAAATTACTAAAAAATGGGGATAGTGGTGACCCCATAGATTTATAAAATGATTTATTTAGGAGCTTATTCAAAGAAAAGAGACTAGAAGGTTTTTTGTTTTCAACTTCAACAGTTAAATGCTTTTAGCCTCAGTTTGATGATGCTTCGATTCAAATAAATCAAATTCGCGCAATTTTCATGCCACTCGCCGTCTTCAAATGATCAATCCGTGTTTGTTCCAGATCGTGGACGGAAATGGAAAGACGGACGTATCCAACAGGAAAGAGCCAGGAATGTATTGCGGCGAGAGTGAACAGCCTCAAACGTTCATGTCGGAAACGTCCTTCGTAAAGATGCTGTTCCACGTGGAAAATTTCACCGATCAAACGTATTTCAGCTTCGATACGAGGGCGGAACAGCAACTGGTCGTCTATTTGCGATATGGTCAACATCCGGAACTCTACCCCAATAGACGTGGAGAAGTTGTGCAAGGGTATGTCAATATATTATGCATTATCTGATTATTGTCTGTTCGATTACCTGCTCGCAATGTGCAGCTGATGCAGGCATTTGAAAGAAATTGCTTGTTTTCGTTTACTATTTTCTCGGTTTTGGACATCTTTCGGTCCTAAGAATCTTCTTGCTAAAGACTGAATATGGGCAACAGATCAGGGCTCTTAGACAAAGAAAAATTATATGAAACTGTTGACTTTCTTTTTCCGCAACTTTCCATATTTTCTGCTAGTTTCTCTAATCATTTTTCTGGCCCATTTTAGTTCGCGAAAAAATGATAAGTTTTGAATAAAATTCTACTGTTCTTTCAGCATTGAGCACAAAGCTTTACGGTTTCTTAAAGTGGCGAACTACAAGTAAAAGCCTCTAAGTTTTTCAAAATGCTGCTTTTCCGTCCGCTAATCCACACACAAAAGAGTGCTTAAGTAGTCGATTTAGATCTCGAAATATTTGGGCTTGAAAATGCTGAGAAATGTTTGTTCTTTTATCCTTGGATTTCATCATGCTTCTAACTTTTTTTACTACTCAGCTATTTTCAACTATTTCGTACATTCACAATTTTACAAATACTTACGGATTTGTTAAGAGGCGAAGTACAAGAAAACGCTTCTATTGTGTTCAATCTTTAAAAATATATTAAGATCGACCAATTCAAAGTTCAAACAAATTAAGTTACGACAAATTAAATTCGGTATTTTTCGATACCAAAATATGGCATTTGGTGAGGTAAATAGTTTTTTAATTTGTTATTTTTATTTTAAGAGGTTGAACTCGGTTTAACCATATTTTTTTTAATAAAAGCTAACTTCATGTACGCATAATCCACACACAAAGTAATACTTTGGATTGGGGAATTTGGATTTGAAAAGGCTGCTTTTTTGTTATTTTTAGTCATGCTGCAAAATATTTTTGTCAATAAATCTGACCGTAAAAAAAATGCTGAAATAATTTTTCTTCGCCGAAATATAGCTTGACGTCCTGAATAAGAAAAAAAATCTCTTTAAAAAGTTAAAAATATTTTTTCGGATTTATAAATTTTTCAAAAGCTTCAATCTTCCGTTAGCTTACTAGAACATATTCCATTTTTAGTTGCATTTCGTTGCAAAATTTATCAAAATATCTTAAAAATTGCGATCCTACTTGCTCTTTCAATAATGAAGCTTGGGGTTTATACAAATTTTCATACTTAAACTTTTTTACTTTATATATTTTGTTTACTAAACACTTCCTTGCAGTCTTAACAACAATATATTTTCCTCAATAGAAATATTTGTTCTTGTCCATTAGGCGCGTCCAAACCTAAATTCACTTGTTTCAAAAGACAATATCTACTTTTAGAGATAAAATGTATCAATTTGAGCAACAAAACACAGCAAAGAAGAAATTTGTCTTCATTATATTTCTTCTGTTAACCACTTTTTGTTGAGCTACATTTTCACAATAACCAACTAAAAACACTTGCAATAAAGTTTGAAATTCATACAGAACTTAACTTCAAAAAGTTTGTAAAAAAGTCCATTGTTCCCGTAGTGAAATTCAATTTAAATTGAAATGTGTCACACTTTAAGCATACTAAATATAATAAGTCCAGGTCTTCATGAAAGTGTACGATTTGCATGCAAGTTGCTTTGCTCTCTGCAGTCAGGAGCTAAAATAAAAATCGATTTTTTCGTATATGGAAATTCACTTCGGAACGAAATACTTACGAAAACACGAAAATAATCAGGCCAAAATTTGCAAATTTATGTTGGACTTTTATTATTTTAGATTTAATTGCAGAGTTTGTCCCATTTTCTTTTGTAGTAGTTGGAACATCCAGAACAAATATGTAAGTATGGGAATTTCATTACCAACTTAAGACTCAACTTGTAGAAGGATTAAATCATGATCGTTTTGTATCGGGCTGGTAAACACATAAAACCCCGTTAAATTGTTGCTAAGTATCCGAATAAAATTGCGTTATTATTGTAAAAAGTGCTTTTATAGCTTTTTCAAATACTTTCAATATATGAAACTTTTGCAATTTTCAAAACTTGAATTGCGACGTAAAAAAAACAAGTTTTTTAATAAGCCATCCAGCAAAAACCTAACTTAAAAAAACTTCTTATTACAAATAATTTACAATGATTTCAAAATGCTCATGCAAATAAACTGAAGCATTTTGTGATTGAAATGCCTCTTACTTTTCTGCATGCAAAATTTAATAATTCCAGCTAAATAAAACAGAAATATTTGCAGCTCGTGAACTAAACTGGTAAATCGATAGCATTATACCAAAAACAGTTTTGCGGAGTTTTGCATACAAAGGGTTTATAAATGATAAAACGAATTAAATTCTTTTAATTAAATCGAGTGCGTTGAATTCCTTTGTTAAGGGTTTGCCGACTTAATTATTTTATTTACTCGTTAAATAATTTCCATTTGTTGAAAGCCGTTCCTCCATCTCGGCGAGTCAAAAGTGACTCAATGGCCCAGAATTTATCATATTTTATCAATAAATCCCTATTTACTTTACTACTTGTTTAATGAGGCAAATTAATGAGCGCTCTTACCAAAGTCTCGGTTTACGTTGAAATAAAGCAAAATTAAATTTGCTTCTTAATTTAGGCGTTTAGTTTGAGTTAGAGATTTGGTTCAATTATTGGCTGTAGTTTGACGACTTGCGAACTTACTCTGCTACGTGACTAGAGGGTGTAATTAAATTTAAAT